CAAAAAAAAAAAGCAAAAAAAAAAAAACACTTCTTCCAAAAATGACATATCAAGTTAGCGGTGAGCAGCGCGGCTTTCAGAACACATATCTCCATCGTACCATCACGGTGCTTTTGAAAAAATGACATATCAAGTTCGACTAATCACTGGCACAGATGTGAATAGCAAAATTCGCAGAGAAAAATAAATAAATCGAAAATTTGCTCGTTACATGCTCGTAAAACACGCTCAGATTGTCTTTCGGGTATGCGTATTGGAACGATACAGAGAAGGAAGATTTTACTTTGTTTTTCTGAGCAGGAAGATTAGCATGGCCCCTGTGCAAGCAAGGATGACACGCATAAATCGAGAAATGGTCCCCCCCCAAAAAAACAAAAACGCTCAGATTGGTTTCCCCGAATACCGTCTCCCCCCCGAACACAACGCACCCTGATAATGAACGTATGCAAGCAATGTTTCCGGTCGGGTACAGTCATAATGAGGGTGCGCTTCTCTCTAGCATTCTCCTTCGCTGGAATAGTCCTTTGTTCTTCTACTTATCTCGTTGCTTTTTTTCTTGCCCCCCCCCTCCGAACACCCCCCCCCTCTTCTCTCTCACTTCCTCCTCCCAACTCTCTCTATCTCTCTATCTCCCTCTTCTTCTGCATGTGCCACGTGGCACTTCTCGATGTGTCCTCCACGTGGCAGTACGTACCCCTGGCCCCGCTCACCCCCTTTCCCCCCTCTTTCTTCCTCCTCTTCCTCCCTTCTTCTCGCCCAAGTGCGGCACAGCCGCTGCGTTGTCTAAAACCCCCGACATGCATGCTAGGGCAGGTGGTGAAAGACCCCGACATCTCTCTCTCTCTCTCTCTCTCTCTCTCTCTCTCTCTCTCTCTCGCTCTTTGCTCCCCTGGCACCGTGTACCTCGTCGTACGTGGAGACTGTTCTCCTTGTGGAACTGAACTTTCAGATCACTCTCCACTTGCGATCCCAACGTCTCCGGCAATCGGGGCACCTTGTCCTCGCTCTTCCCCCTCCCGCTATGCAAGCCAAGCTGTGCGCTGACTCCCCACCGCGCCCTCCGTGGGCACCCTCCCCCTTTCCCTCCTTCTCTTCCTCCTCCTCCTTTTGCCCTCCGTTCTTTTCGCTCTTCTTCTCTCCTTCTTCTTCTTCTTCTTCGTCTCCTCCTTTTTTTTTCCTGCTCCTGGCGCCCGTCCTCCGGTCGGAATACCGATCTCTTGTTCTAAGCCGGGATCTGCGACGTCACACGCACTTCAGGATGGACAAGAAACCTCCCACGTGTCCGTTTTTCTACATTGAAACGTGGGAGATAGGAGTCTCCGTCCACTGCTGTCTCTTTTTTTTTTTCTTTTTCCCGTCCACTCCTATCTCAACGCGGCAATGAACCCTCCCTTCTCCAGCCACTCAATCTCCCCACGTACCAATGGTCCTCTCCTCTCCTCTCCAAAACCCTCTCTATCATGTGATCGTAATTACAAGCGTCGAACGAATGGAATCAATAATTAGATCAGATCAGTTTCCAATTCTAATCCCGACAACCTTGCCACGTGGCACGATGTTACTTGCTATTCTCTCGTCATTCTCGCGGTACGTGGTACGATGTAGCTTCTTCTTTCTTCCTCCTTTGTCTCCTTCTCCTACACCGATCCCAACACGCCTGCCTCGCCATACCCCCCCCCCCCCCCCTCTTGACTGACGGGATCGCGATTTGTATTGGTGGTCTACTTCTTTGATTGCCACGTGTCCTTTTCAGGTGCAGTCAGCATCAACAGCAGCCCCTGTCTCTTCCTTGGAACTCTTCAGGAGGCTTCGAGCAGCCACAGGCGTGACAGGTTGGTCTGTTTGAAGGCATTGCTTTGTCTTTTTTTTTTTTTTTCCTTTTAAATAAGAATTTGGACTTCGAAAGGGATAATTTCGTTTTTTTTTTCTTTTTTTCTCTTTTTTCGTAGTAACTCCTTTTCAGAGGCGATTACTTGTGTGTGTTCAGGAAGAAATTTATTGGGAGCACAGGATGATGGTTTACATGTCAAAGGGACGATGGACCCGGTTTCCAGCAGGTGCAGCTCCCCACCAATAGATTGGAGCATTCCGCGGTGGGGATATTATAGGGGCCTGCTCTTACCACCCCGTACAGTAAATTGAAACGGTTCAAAAAAAAATAAAAAAATAAAAAATTCTTGGGAGGGAAATACGGTAAAACAACTTTTGGAGAACTCGTTGAAGATCGTGACGGGCAGATAAGCAAGAAGGGGGAGGAGAGGAGAAGAGGGAGGAGGAGAGGAGAAGAGGGAGGAGGAGAAGAGAAGAGGGAGGAGAGGAGGAGGAGGAGGGGAGGGGGGGGGGGGAGAGAGAGAGAGAGAGAGGGGGAGAGAGAGAGAGAGAGAGAGAGAGAGAGAGAGAGAGAGAGAGAGAGAGAGAGAGAGAGAAAGAGAGAGTGTGGGGGGGGGGGGGGGGGGGGGGGGGGGGGGGGGGGGGGGGGGGGGGGGGGAAGGGGATATGGAGAGGAGGGGAGAGGGACAGGAGGACGAGAGGGAAAGAGAACTGGGGGCATGCTGAACCGAACAATGAATAGCATCTCCCTTACCTCTCTTCTCTCATCCTGCAGTCGGGACTCCGTCTCAGATACCAACAGGAGGCACAGAGGTTCTCTCCTAGAGTCTTTTTGATAACCGTGCTGGATAATATTGTACCTGCTTTCCTGAAGGGTCGACTTAAGTTGGATATGATAGCTCTGGATGATGGGGGTTGATTGGAACCTTCATCGATTGTTCTTAGAGTACTCATCCATTGCTGTCAGCATGGTCATCGTCAGATGATGGTTGGCTATTTTTTGGCATACTCATGTAAGGTGTGGAACTTTGCAGAAACGGGTATCGAAAGCTCAGGAGTAAGAACCTTGAACACTTCAAACTCGCAAGTGCAGAATTGGTTTGATTGGATGGATCAGAAGTGGATGGATGGACGGACGTCGGATAGATTGATTGATCGACGGATTCATTCATCGATGTATTGCTTGATGGATGGATTGATGGGTGCATTTATTGATTGATTGATTGATTGATGATTGATGATGGAGGGATGGATTGATCGGTGGATTGGTTGGTTGATTGATTGATCGATGATGGATGGATGGATCGATGGGTGGATTGATTGATGGATGGATGGATGGATGGATGGATGGATGGATGGATGGATTTGATTGATTGATGGATGGATGGATGGATGGATGGATGGATTGATTTGATTGATTGATGGATGGATGGATGGATGGATGGATGGATTGATTTGATTGATTGATGGATCGATGGATGGATGGATTTATGGGTGGATTGATTGATTGATTGATTTGATTGATTGATTTGATTGATTTGATTTGATTGATTGATTGTTTTGATTTGATTTGATTTGATTTGATTTGATTTGATTGATTGATTTGATTTGATTGATTGATTTGATTGATTGATGACGGATGGGTGGATTGATTGATTGATTGATTGATTGATTGAATGATTGATTGATTGATGGATTTATGGGTGGATTGATTTTACATCGATTAAAATTGAAAAGATACGCAGAAGCTTGATTAGCTTGCCTCCTGTGCAAGGATGACACACATAAGTCGGATCCTTCTCTATCTCATGTGTATGTTAATTAATGGATATAATGTATTGAAGGACTACTACATTGATAGATTGAAAGCTTCATAATTGATAGATGGATGGATTGATGGATGGATGAGCCCATCAGGCAAGTGTTTGACAATTGGTGCTTGCTTTTCAGGTGTGTATAGGGGCGCTCTTTGGACGCTCTCTGGACAAGTCCCTTCCTTGGCCGTTCGATTTGGCACTTATCAATTGATGACCGCGTTCTTCCAAGGTAATGCGACCCGCAAAGTCCCCCCCCCCCCCATCTTTCCACATTCCATCACTGCCCCCCAACCATATGTACTTTCACTTCTCTGCCCTTACCTCTGCCACGGTCACTGCCCCCTGCTTCTGCCCCTTGCTTTCCCCCACTTAGCCCCAGAAATGCTTCACAACCATATGTACTTTCACTTCGTAGTAAATTCGTACACGGGGACTCTCTCATTAGTCCAACAGGTAGGATAATAGAACCATCTTCACCCCGAATAGAACTCCCGGTCATTATTGCTGTGTACTTAGAGCAACTCCCAGTCTGGAATACAGGGATGATGAGGGGATATTCAATTCGGATGAAGACCGTAGTCAGGAAAAAAAAGAAAAAAGAAAAAAGATGAAGGCCACCTGAGTATCTGTACTATGGATGGCTCCAATGTTGTTGTTGTTGTGTAACCACCAGTACTTGACCCGGCCATCGGCCGCAGGGCGCTTACATTAAGCCATCAGTACCTTTCTCTGCTTGAAAAACAATTCCGCGGCGGGTTACGCTTGCAAATTTCGGGGCTGGGCCGCTGTGGATAATTTTCATGGGCGAACTTTTGGGGCCGGGCCTCCGCGGATAAATTTCATCGGCGGCCCGTGTTGCGTTTCAGGCCCCTTCGAAAGTCGCGGTAAGGGACCGGCGACTGATATATGGAACCACCAGTACCTTTCCCATGTATCGGTCGCCGGCCCCTTACCACGACTTTCGGAAGGACCTGAAACGCGACACGGGCCGCCGATGAAATTTATCCACGCCCCCCCGGCGGCAGTGAGGGCCCCCGTGCTACCCGCTGTGTATTTGTTTTTCAAGCAGGGAAAGCTACTGGCGGTTAATTGCGCCGAAACTTTCACCGTCCGACCTCCAGAGCAAAATTGCTGGCAGCACCAGCCGAAAGGAGGCCGCACCGGTTCGTTTTTCTTTGGCGCGCAGGGCGTTTCAAGGGTTCGGAAAAATTGCGTCCTACTGGTGGTTTAACCCCCCAGTGCAGGCAGGGCCCACTAAAACTTTGCAAGATTTCTTCGTGGCCTACTCCTAAAATATCGGAGGCTCGCAGCTACTCTACGCCTTATGGTCAGATCCCACTACCCTGGATTATTCATTTTTCACCCTCGATTACGGAGATCAACGGTCAGAAATGAACAATAGGGGCTAGTGGGATCTGGCCCTTACAAGATTTCTGATTTCTTCATGGTGTACTCCTAAAATTTCAGAGGCTCGGGGCTACCAGACCACACGGGGCTGGCACCAGCCAAAAATGGAAAGAAGTGTGCTGCTGGCACGTGGCTGGCACCAGCCAAAAATGGAAAGAAGTGTGCTGCTGGCTGGCTGTTTGGCAAACCTTGGCGCGCAGTGTGGCACCGCCTGGCCCGAGTGTACTGGTGGTTTAAACTTTAAACCGGTGCTCCGTTTTCGTACCGTAGTCAAAACCTGTTTTTGGTTCAGCTCTTCTGTCGTTGATTGGCAAACATTAATGTACTCCATTGTTTTGCTTTCCCTTTTTTTTGTCTTTTCTTTTTTCCTTCTTTGGGTAGTTCTGCTGCCAAGTAAGAAGAGTGATAGTGTCCTGAAACTGAGGGGTGGGGATGTGACCAAGTGCTATGCATCCGCAAATAGCACAGCAACGCGAAGGGCAAACTTTGAAATGCATCGTTTCTTCCCTTTCGGTTTTTGCTGTTCGTCTTCAGAGTCATTAGTGTCTTCTTCCCCTTCTTAGGGCATTACCCACACGGGGACTTTCCTGTACGTATCTGGCCTCTTTTACAGCCAGCCCTGGATGCACCTGACCGCAATTAAGTCCACGGAGAAGTTTAGAAAAGTCCTGGTGTGAGTATGGCCTTAGTCTATGTCTCCAAACTTCTTTCCTAGCCGTAGTAGCCCGCCCAACCAACTTCACACACTGCTGACCCCTCTCCCTTCCTCCTCTCCCCCCCCCCCCCCCCCCCCCCCCCCCCCACCCCAAGTTTGATCCTGGCTCAGGATGAGCGCTGGCGGCATGTTTAACACATGCAAGTCGAACGGAATATATTGATATATTGATTGATTTCAATCAATATATTCAGTGGCGGATGGGTGAGTAATGCCTTAAGGACTTGCCCTTGGGTTGGGGATAACAACTGGAAACGGCTGCTAATACCCCATTAGCTGAGGAGTAAACGGATGAATCCGCCCTCGGAGAGACTTGGAAGGCGCCATCATTGACAACTCCAAGACACCTGAGGCCTCACTGCCTACCCACCCAGGTTCCTCCTCCTCTCCCTTCGCCCCCACCACTCAACTTTCTCGTCTTTGATTTATCTATTTTTTTTGTGTGTGGCACTTGTGCTCTATTTTCCTGTACGTGGGCCTCACCAAAGTTGGTTTCTTTCTGTTCCGCTGATCATGTTTATCTCTTGCATTTTGCCATTTTCGTCTTTCTTGCAATATGAAAAAAGGAAAATATTTGTATCAGCAGCCTCCGGGCCAGCTCCCTTGCAGCCTTCCGTGACCGCACTCACTGACCTCTTAACCATAAAAAAAAAAGGCAGCAGCAGCACCTGCCAAAAAGAAAGGATACCAACCACTGCTTGCCTCTGAGCTGATGAATGGCAGGAAGAGATAATGCGTGCGTATTTATCCGGGTTTGTGTTTGTGTGTGTGTGTGTTCGTTGTTATGTTCGCTCTACCCAACTCCACAAGAAAAGCATGACTGTGCCACACTGTTTCGTCGGACATTCACCAACTCATCAGGAGGCTGTGCGTGCGTGTGTGCGCTTGCTTTTTTTTTT